GCCAGAAAATAAATATTGTTCATGCTGCATGCGAAACCTGCAAAACCTCCTCCTTTGGACATGTACAAGCGCATGCGCTGTGTGGAGCTCGTTTTCCGCTATGGTTCAAATCCAACCACGGTGTATTTGCGAGTGGCAGTTCTAGCTCGACAAACTGGCAAGCTCAATTCAATCACAATGTGCATGTTACACAAAAGGGCGCCAGTTTGGAGTCAGTCACAGGACACTTGCCGGCAAGGACAACATCACACACCACAGGTCAAAGTCCACAAAGCCCAACACACAAGCAGCACAAGTACATGTAAGTCAGTAAACAAGCATCAACTGCAGCTGGTTCATCGCACAAGCTGCTGATTCAAGGATGCCGCAGTTTGAATACTTATATACAGCACATGCTATCCGCTTCACAGATTGAACAGTTTGAACACGCTTCATGCGCACACGTGTTCATGGCCCAGAAAAGGCTTGTACGTGTAGAGGACAAGTATATATATGGAAAAAACCCACGCAGCTGCGGCAAGCACGCAGGCGTTTGTGGCACACAACTTGGAGTTCGTGTAGCACAAGTACAAGCCTCACAGTACAAAAGATGCATGCGGCGCAAGTGTCCTGTGTACAATCCAATGGCTGCGCGCAGGGCAAGTGTACAAAAAGGCAGAGAACTGTTGCACACAAGTTTGTACCTCTGTGACAGCTTGTACTTTGCAGCTCTTGCTTGCTTTGCGGCCTGTGACAAAAAAAGTGTCTGGGCTTTCTAAACTTTGGGCCGTGGTTCCTATATACAATGGGTGTGCGTCGCAAAATCTCTGACAATTTTCTCAAGCTCTCACACTTCAGGGCTTCGCAGCCACACATCCTCCCGCCACGCTGCGCATATAAACAAACACGAGAGAAACACAAATAATGGCGCGCTTGCTGCGCTGTTCTATGCAAAAACAAGTGGTGCAACAAGGTGTTTATATGCATTTGCGTGATTTAGACTCGCAGTTTAGACGCGCTATTTAGACTACAAATTTAGACTCGGCGCAGCTTTGTAGTCTAAATTTCTGCGAGGCTATTTTTAGACTCAAAGGATCTTTCAGGTAATCGGGTGTTAACATTACTTGCGACTTTCGAGCTGGGTCTGCGAAAGTGTACTTCGTGTACTACTTGTGTGATGAATGTTCTGAAAACAGCCCCACGAAAGTTCCGCGATGGGGCCCGCGAAAGTTATTTTTTCTCGCGAAGACGGCGGCTTCGGAAAACGGAAGAAGGAATTTCAGACAACCGTCACATATAAATATAGATATATCTACACTGGCCAGACAACAGTTGCGCTTCTTGAAGGTCTGAGCGATTGCAACCCTTTCCTTCTAGAATCCTTCAGGGAAAGACCTACGGGGGTGCGCGTGAACTCAATGCAACACCCTTGCCGTAACGCAGGACAGTACGCGTAATTTCGTGGCACTCGCGTACGCTCAACCTCGGCTGTGTACGTTGAGCTTTGGCGCCAAAAGGCAAGTCAGCTTGAACGCGATGCAACACCCCTGTCGTAACGTGGGGCAGCGCACGCAATTTCGTGGCACTCGCGCACGCTCAACCTCGGCTGTGTGCGTGGACTTTTGGCGGCAACAGACAAGTCAGCTTGAACTCAACGCAACACCCCTGCCGTAATGCGCTGGCCAGACAAAGGTTGCGCTTCTTGAAGGCCTGAGCGATTACAGCCCTTTCCCCCTAGAATCCTTCAGGGAGAAACCTATACGGGGGCGTGCGCGGTCAATTTTGGACCTAGGAGTCTAGGAATTCTTTTATCACTATAAAGTTAAAACAAGGCAAAAGGCAAGTCAGCCTGAACTCAATGCAACACCCCTGCCGTAAAGCAGGGCAGTACGCAAAAAATCGTGGCACTCGTGTATGCTCAACCTCGGCTGTGTACATTGCCTTTTGGCGGCGCAAGGCAAGTCAGCTTGAACTCAACGCAACACCCCTGCCGTAACGCAGGGCAGTACGCAAAATTCCGCGGCACTCGCGTACGTTCGGCGGCAAAAGGCAAGTGATCTTGAACTCAATGCAACACCTCTGCCGTAACGCGCTGTCAGGCAGAGACCTATGGGGGTGCGCGCGGTCAATAAACTTACAACAGGGTGATTCTTGACCGTCCCACGCCTGCCGCACAAAACCAACTTGTTAACTCGACCCGCGGCTGACCTGAAAGCGTCTTTGCCTGTTTAAGCTGAAGGGCAGTACGCATTGATTTTGGCGGCAAAAGACAAGTCAGATTGAAATTAGTGCAACACCCTGCCGTAACGCAGGGCAGCGCGCGAAATTTCGTGGCACTCGCGTACGTTCAACCTCGGCTGTGTGCATTGCTTTTTGGCGGCACAAGACAGGTCGGCTTGAACTCACTTGAAACCCCCCTGCCGTAACGCAGGGCAGTACGCATAGTTTCGTGCCACTCGCGTATGTTCAACCTCGCTGTGGACATTGACTTTTGGCGCCAAAACGCAAGCCAGCTTGAACTCAATGCAACACCCCTGCCGTAACGCAGGGCAGCACGGATAATTTCGTGGCACTCGCGTATGTTCAACCTCGGCTGCGCATTGACTTTTGGCGGTAAAAGGCAAGTCAGCCTGAACTCAATACAACACCCCTGCCGTAACGCAGGGCAGTACGCGTAGTTTCGTCATCCTTATACATCAACTTTTGGCGGCAAAAGGCAAAGGTCAGCTTGAACTCAATGCAACACACCGCCGTAACGCAGGGCAGTACGCGTAGTTTCGTGGCACTCGCGTACGTTCATCCTCGGCTGTGTACATTGACTTTTGGCGGCAACAGGCAAATGTCAGCCTGAACTCCGTGCAACACCCCTGCCGCAACGCAGGCAGCGCGGATAATTCGTGGTACTCGCGTATGTTCAACCTCGGCTGTGCACATTGACTTTGGGTGGCAAAAGGCAAGTCACTGGAACACTCCTGCCGAAACGCAGGGCAGTACGCAACAATTCGTGGCACTCGTGTATGTTTAACCTCGGCTGTGTACATTGACTTCTGGCGGCAAAAGGCAAGTCAGCTTGAACTCAACGCGACACCCCTGCCGTAACGCAGGGCAGTACGCGTAATTTCGTGGCACTCGCGTATACGTTCAACCTCGGCTGTGTAAATTGATTTTTTGCGGCAAAAGACAAGTCAGCTTGAACTCAGATTGAAACACCCCTGCCGTAAGGCAGAGCAGTACGCATAATTTCGCCGCACTCGCGTATGTTCAACCTCGGCTGTGTACATTGACTTTTGGCGGCAAAAAGCAAGCCTGTTTGGAATTAATGCAACACCCCTGCCGTCACGCAGGGCAGCACGGATACTTTCGTGGCACTCGCGTTTGCATTGATTTTCAAGCTGACTTGCCTTTTGCCGCCTAAAGTCAATGTACACAGCCAAGTTTGAACATACGCGAGTGCCGCGAAATTTTGCGTACTGCCCTGCGTTACGGCAGGGGTGTTGCATTAAGTTCAGGCTGACTTGGTTTTTGCCGCCAAAAGTCAATGCACACAGCCGAGGATCATCACCCCTGCCTTACCGCACTAGCCAGACAAAAGTTGCGCTTCTTGAAGGCCTGAGCGATTACAACCCCTTCCCGCCCCCTAGAATCGTTCAGGGAGAGACCTACGAGGGTGCGCGCGTTCAACCTTGGACCTGGGAATGTTTTTGCCGTTATAAATTTAAAGCAGGGTGACAATTGACCGTCCCACGCCTGCCGCACAAAATGCACTTGTTAATTCGATCCGCGGCTGACCTGAAAGCGTGTTGTCAATACAAGCAAGAAGCATACACTTTTGTGTGGCTGAAATATATATATATATATATATATTATACACATCGGTGGAGGTTCGCCAAGAGCCCCCTAGTATACCGCAATCACTCGTTTTCCTGTCATCAGATACAGCTCCACTACCTTATGCTTGGTAGGCATAGTGCTTTCTTGCATGCAGATTCGATAATCTTGGCCTCTAGTGGTGGCTAACACGTACTCGCGAGTCTGAGATCTGAATAATTAGGCGGAAGCTGCAGAACAGCACCGTCTCTGAAAGAATCAGGCGGTATCTCCAATACCTTCAGCCTGCGGAGCCTTCGGAACCTTGCGCGCCTGCATGCGTGAGTGACATAACAAGCACGCATGTATGTTTGCCCGCCCGCGACTGTCAGGCAGATGACAACAACGCTCACAGCTGGAGCTCTTAACTGGGTCTTGTGCATTCAATGCGATTTTGAATTTGTTAAAGCACTATTGATGCTGGGGGGTGTCAACGACTAGTTCTCACACCATTGCGGTATGTGCGACGAAGTGCGCAACACATGTCACGTTTTCGCATCCAGCTTTGCGGGTGGGGCCTAACGTCACCTTCGAATCCTATAGATAGGAGATGGGATGCAGCAGCAGCATGCCCAGCATCACCAGCAGGTTCTCTTCTACTCCGGATATTTGAGCCAGGGTCTAATTTACTCCCACCGATGGTCTAATGGTCAGTTCCAAAAATGATGGTGACTATGATTTAGTTGTCAGTGGGACAACGGTTTGTTGCCACCCTACTGCGCCTTCCAAACGGGACGGCGGCCGGTCGGCGGATGTCAGCGGATTTCGAACGATAGCCGAGTCCAAAAAGACAACACCGTTGTTGGGAGTTGAAAGTACGGATTTGCCATTTTGCTCGTGGATATGAACGCACGAAGCACAGCGCGCGGTACAGGTAGCGGTACTATGTTTTTGCCAGCGGGTCAAACAGCGCCCGGGCAATGGCTTGACTGTTTGCCCGCTGGACTGCTTACGCCATGGCCAAATTGGTTACGTGCCCGTCCGGTCTACGTGCCCACTGGGCCGTGTATGCCTGGAGAAAATGATATCGCGCCTGTTCGACTGACTGCGACAGTGGACATGCAGTTTACGCCATGACCTGGGCGAGATGGAAGACGGGAAATACTATGAAGTACCAACTCTTTAGCGCTAGATAGACACCAGAGCCGACTGAGGCAATTCGCATTTCGCTGGCCCATGCCGCCACAGAGCAGGAGCTGGGCTTGAAAGAAGATGCTCCCCGTCCAGCAATTGAATCTGGCAGACGAAACAAAAACACTGGAGAGCATTCTCGGCTAGAGAACTTCCATCCGCATGATTGAAGAGTTGCAGGCGCTTTCGCCCTAAGGCGAATCAAAAGCCCTCTCATTGTAGAAAGACGTTCAGGCAGGCCTGCGTGTGAAGCTTTCTGTGTGGGGTGCTTGCGGCTTGAAAATGGCATAAGGGGGCTCTATTGGAACTTATCCCCGTACAGCTCGCTGCTAGGTATGCACTGCAGCCGTTGAACGTCATAGATGTTGTCGCAGTGGCGCCGCAGTTGCACCAAGCCTTGCCACATTGCCTCCTTCCGCACAGAGATGCACCTCAGGTGCCCTTCTACTTGGAACGCATCGGCTTGGGAGGCGGGCAACGCAGCTTGAACTGCCGGCTGACCGGCCAAAGAAAATGCATACATGTCCTGCCTTGCCAGTATTTGTTCCATGCCGCTGGTCGAGATCTTTGCCAAGACCCCAACCTAGCCTAAGCCTTGAGACATTTTACTGGCACTGGTCTTCGGCCTGTGCAAGAAGCACGAGAAATGTATTCCTAGGGGCTTTGTCGGCCGCGCAAAAGCGTAGAACAACTACGCACGTTACCACTCCGTCAAAGGCTCTGGTTTAATAAAGATTGTTCCCGCAGCTGTTCAGTTTTCAACTCAAACCCTGTCTCCCTTAGGTTGCCTTAAGCGCAAAACTTCCTGCCAACATGCCGAAAGGCCCCGAGCTAGCCTGCAATGAGAGCAGAAGGGACGAGGAACACGGAGGCATGACGCAAGAACACGTGACAGGAAGCAGCACTGCAGTGCTGCGAGTCCTGCGGCTGGTTCGAATTTTCCGGGTTCTGAAGCTCGTGCAGCAGTGACGAGTGTGTGAGCAGGGCGGGGGCTCGGCTGGTTGGCTATGGAAATCTGGCTGCCAGTATTTCAGTCCCTCATTGCGTTAGAGACGTGTGGAATGCTGCCATGAGCTCAGGAAGTCACCAAAGATGCGGGCATGAGCCTTGCCCAAAAAGGTTTTTTAACTAGCGTGATGTGACAATCACTCATTCAGAGAAGAACATTCCGCCACATATGGGAGTGCTGCTTCCAAAGAAGGCATGATTGGCAGGGTGGAGCTGCAACTCAGGTGTTGACATGATTCTTTGCATAGCCGCCCGTCTTGCATCAGTGAGAGGGGCAAGGCCACCAGCAAAATAGCAAGGGTGAGTTCCAGTTGTGCGTGGAACGTACGTGCAACTTACTTACATTGGCTGGGTTTGGACTCGTTCTATTCGACTCAGGTCATTGATGCTCTGCCTGGGATAGCGTCGGTGTTCTCATTGACTTGCCCCTCAGCAGAAGACAGCGAGAGGCAGTGTGAAAGACTCCGGGTCTTTTGCAAAAAGCATGTCTGTGCAAGAGGCTCTGCATGCACCAAGGCCTGGTGTGCATTATGTTCGCTTCCTGCATGTTCTACGCCGAAGGCCAGTTGAGCTTCATCGTCATGCCGTCATGCCGTCATGCCGTCATGCCGTCATGCCGTCATGCCGTCATGCTGTCCTGTCGGGCCTCTGGCGGTGCCTCCAGGTACTTTGTACTCAGTGGACTACGATCCGGAGGAATTCCCCATGGGCGTGTGGCCTGGCACGGCCTTGGCAGACGCACGGAAGCGACGCGAGAACTCGCGTGCCCAAGGTACATCAGGCCAAGCAAAGATGGAAGCGAGATGGAGCCAACGCCGTTCCGGTCCATCAGCCATACTTTCTGGTGGCCCCTCGTCTTTCTGACACCAACAAACCGGAGCTTGCCTTGCCGTGTTTTGCAACCAGGTTTTTTGCCACTGTCCGTGCCTCAGAACGCCGAGCTGCAAAGCTGTCTTCAAGAGACCGAGCTTGGGCCGCGCGCCTGTTGGACGTGTCGCCGAGGCGACAACAGTTGGCTATGGCGACTATGTTCCCACCACAACAATGGGAAAGATCATCGCTATTTTTGTGTTTTACATTGGCATTGCTACTTGGCGCAAGCTGAATGTTGCGTGCCAGACTGCTGGCAAGTGCACACCGAGGTCTTGGTTGCAATCAAGCTGACAATAGTTCAAGGCTCCTTCAGAAGACATTACCCGCAACTTGGTCAAAGCAGCCCTGCTTGCAGTTACCTAGTGGGATGTGCTGCTGGGCTTTGGGGGCTGAGCAAGATCGCGTCCAAGGCTGTTCATCAAATCTCACCAGTAGCAATTTGGTGCCGCTGCGAGGAGTGTCCGAACCACCAGTTGTCAGAATCATGTTATGGGGCAGCGACGCTCACAAGCAGGCTCTCAGGAGTTCCGTCTGTCAGCCAAAGTTGCGTGGAGTTGGTCTTGGTGGCAATTCATCCAAGAGGTGTTTGCTATTGTGCCTATAGCCGTGTTTCTGAGCATGGGCCATTGGCGCCGGGCTGCGGTTCAGCGCACGTTTCAGTAGCTACCTCACGCCCAAGTCGTGAGCTCGCCTAGCCTCGAGGCTTTTCTAAGACAGGATGTCTCACCCTTCCTTGCATCGCTGAGCCGGCTCTGGAGCGTGGCGTTTATGTGCCTTGCTGAACAAGACAGCGCTCTTTGGCCCTATGTCGCAATGCGCGCCAGGCAAAGTCCACTCAGCTTTCCGAATGGTTCCCGGTGAGGAGCTGAAATTGTGTTCCCGTATCCTGGTTTCACCTCGCCGAAATTGACGGCAGCCTCATGGGCAGAGTTGGATGCTACCTACTGCATGAATTGCAGTCAATGAGTGAGGGTGCCGCAGTAGAGGACGGCATTGCGGCGTTAGAATCTTGCAAGACAAAACCAAGCTATGGTCTGGGGTTGCGCTTTCACCCAGTCAGCTCGCAGTCGGATTGAGATGTTCTGCCAAATGCCAAGGGCACTAAGCGCTTCGGGCCAACTTGCCAGGTCCTTGAAGTGCTCAGAGCAGCCCGGTATCCGGCGGGCGCCTTCAGAGATCGCCAGCTGCCAACTGTAAGCTGGTATGGGCCCAGGCACGGCTGGAAGTGACCTGGACTTTGACGGAGGTGCCATCTCAAGTCATGTTCGGTTTCTCTGCTCTTTCTGTGTTCCAGTGGTAGGTCAATTCTGGGCGGTCGCCACTCTCTTTCTCGAGCGAAGAGGCGTGCCGTGAATAGAAGTTTGTTTGCAGCTGTTCGAGCAGAGCATTGCAGCTGGAAGGCTATCGTCAGCGGACAGGCATCATTGTCTGCATCTTACCTCTTCAACCAGGTGTTGCCATGCATTGTGGTGCAGGTCCCTATCATTTCGTTTCGCCCGGTGTGCACATGTTTGCCGACAGTCTATGAGAAATCTATGCCTTGGAAACCTGTGGGATGTCTGCGAGGCCTTGCAAGAACGCGGGGGAGGCTGAGGCCTTGGTGGCGCAGCCCTGAGAAGTGCCCCTGGCGTTTGCACTCGCGTTGCTCGCCCAGGCCAAGCTGTCCAGCAGCCTGGCGTCCAGCCCCAGTGCGGAACCCAGGACTGGGTTTGAGTGCGTCCCATGCAAAAAGCAGCGTGAGCTACACCCCACGCTGGGTCAGAATGTGTCAGTGTGGGAGCCAGCCGTTTCTGGCTGAAACTCTCTAATTTGCAGGTTCTTCAATATGGTTTCAAAGAAGGCCCTGCAAAGTGCACACTGGTTTTTGTGCAGGACAGCTGCTTGCCAAAGCCCTGCAGCGGACTGTCCCCAAAGGCCCTGGGCTGGACCAGGCATGCCCTTGCACACCGGGGCGGTGGTGAGGACCGCCGAAGTGCTCCGAGCAGCGCTGGAGCCGCAGGCTGGGCCGCAGGCTGGGCCTTGGCACCTGACATGAAACGCGTGGCCCGTTCCAGGCGCAGGGCCTAGCAAGGGAACCAACGCAGCGCCCTCGGCAAAGCGGGGGAAGTTGCGCCGATTCTCATATGAATTCTGCAGCCATTTGCAGCCTTTCTTGAGCCAAGCACAAGTTCAAGATGATACCAAAGCCTTGACGATTTGACGCCAAGCCGCAGAAGGCAGAGCCACTGCGCTTCATTTCTTCTAGTGATTGGGAAATGTGAGCTGTCGCAGTGCCGATTCACACCGTACTTGTTGCTGTTCGCCGCGCGCTTGCACGTGAAACAAAACCTCGTCGGCATGGAGTCGGAAATGGCCACTTGGCGTGAGGTGCGGAAGCAAGATCATGTAATGTGTGTGTGTGTGTGTTGTGGCAGCATGGGTATGTTGGAATGGGTACTGATGTCAATGCAAATGCCGCTCGTACGTGCTGCTGGTGTGCGGACGGGTTGGCTTTTCCCGCTCAGGTTACCATCATCGGCTTCGGCTCGCTGCTCAGCAAGAAAAGCGCGCTCATGACGACGCCCAGCATGCAGGCAGCACAGTCTCGGGCGCCTGCCATATGACTTGCGCATGTGCTGCCTCTAGGGCTTCCAGTACGTCAGGGTCAAAGGCTACCAGCGGCAATTCGCTCACCCTGCTCCAATCTTTTTCGAGCGATTCTTGGCTTTGGAATCGCCGAGTTGACTTATCTCAGCCACCTTCGTCGCCTTTCCGTTTGGTGACTAAGGTGGCGCATACCCGGGCATCGCGAAGCCTGACACCAAGGTCGGCACATGTCTGCACATGTCTGTACTGGTGCCCTTGTTGCAAAGCAGAACCCGGCTTGATGACTTGACGTGAACTGATGAATTGATGAACTGATGCCAGGAGATTGCATCTTTGTCAACACGGCCGAGCTGTGAAAGCTCTTTTGTGGCATGCGCGTACCAGTGTCCGGGCAGCACGAAGGATCTTCGATGCAACAATTGCCACAAGAGCCCCCTATCTCTCACTGCTTTTGCATGCTGTATGCCTCTAGCATTGAGGATGACTGAGGATTCCCAAGTCAGAGTGGGAGCCACTTGCTGAGCGCGAGGAGGAATTTGAGTGCTCGCCTTGGCGCTGAACGATGTGGAAATGCTGTGCGTGCTGAGCAAGTCTCAGCAGCCTTGCTATGATTTTTTTTGCACATTGCAGTTCACAGGTTCATTGAAGCTGCCTTTGAGCCTTTGGAGAAGGACGCCCCTAGCCTGGGAAAGATCCTTAGCCGCCGGTAGTGCCCGAGTTCGGCTTCTGCATCAGTTTTAGATGCCTGGGGCATTTTGCTTGCTCAATTGGCGCAATGTTGTCCAGCCGAGGAACGTAGGCCTGATGTGCACACGGTCCAATGATGACAAACTGAAGACTTTGCCCATATGGCAGAGGTATGCCCCTTGGCGTCGAGAAGCGGGGTCGGGCAGACCGATGTTGCACGAAAAAGCAGCCTGAGTTTCATCAGCTGGGTGTTCACGTTCCTGCTACCAAGTAGCTATGCGCGTGCATTGAATTGACCTGCACGTGCCAAGGAGAGGTGCTTAAGTCCATATGGAGAGGTGAAGGTCTGGAGTTGGGAGCCGGACTCTGGAATACGGCCTTGCCCTGTGCAACTCAGCCTGCGCGTTTCCTGCATGTCGGATTGGGTTCCCTTTTGGAATGTGGGTAGGTATTGTCGGCACTGTGTCTTGGCGACGCAGAAAGAAGGACAGCTGTTTGCCGTTAAGCTGGTGCCAAAAGGAGTGCAGCGACTCAACCTGCTGGCAGAGTGAGGAGTGCCTGAGTATGTCTCCAAGAGTTTCCTTGATGAGACCTTCCTGGTGGATGGGAACCTTTGGCAGCACAAAGTGCAGAAGGCTTTGGGCAGGATCTGTCGCAAGCCTGCGAAGCTGCAAGGAAAACCACTCTTCGAGAATATTTGGAGCACAACCCGCACGTGATGCTCAGTGAGCCCCCAGAAGAGTGGCCTGGATGAGGCTTTCACATGACTTTCATGCAGCAACTTGCCGCGTGTGCTGTGCTTGAGGTAGGCAGGCAATTGCGAGAAGGGTCCCCAAATCTTGGCCCAGGTTCCGAGAAAGATATTGTGGCTAGATTGGCCTATGGTCTGCATCAGCTTCCGAGGGCAAAAGTGTGCTGCATGCCGCCCCTTCTTGCCCGTGTTTGGTCGAGACTCCCTTGAGTATCTTCAGTCAGTGGGGAGCCTATGAGGGCAAGTCTCATGCATTTTACAGCGTCAACGTGTCATGCGGGCCCTTTGAATGAGCCATGGCATTGCGGCTTAGCAGTCTCCGAGCTGCGCGCCGGCTGAGAAGTTTGCACTTCGTCCCAGGCGGCTCTCAGAAGTTCCTGGACAAGGCGCTGGCCTCGCGGGCCGATGCTCTGATCATCGACCTGGAGGACTCTGTGCTGCCAGCCGAGAAGCCGGCAGCCCGTGTCGAGGTGGGCAAGTGGATGACCTCCACACAGTGGGGCGACAAAACGGTTTGTGTGCGAATCAACCCGCTGGACACCAACCTCTGGGAAGACGATGTGGAGGCGACGCTGAAGGCTGACAAGCCTGACGCTCGGCCAGCAGATAGCTTTGACAGGACATGTCTGACACGTTTCCCATTCCTTCCATCTTTGCCTGAAAGCTTCAATTTCGATGCCCAAAAGGCTGACCGTTTCTCGTGCATCACGCGCCCATCCCGACACTTACGTGCCTCCCTCTCAATTCCTCCGAAGCACAGTGCCTCAAGGGGAAGCGTCCCATTTGGGGCTTGTCCCTTCCAAAGCTTCCTCGTCCCTTGAGATCCATTTGGCGCATTTGGGTCGAGGACATGCTGGTGGTGCCGAAGGTGTCCAGCAGAGGCGACCTGGACCGCCTGGACGTGAAGCTGTCGGCCATGGAGCAGCGCTTGGGCCGCGGCGTGGGCAGCACCACGCTGCTTCCCATCGTCTCCGAGGTCCCAGAGGAGCGACCGTTGGACGGCTGTGCCATGCCATGCGAACCATTTTTTTTTTAAAGCTGGATCCGTGAAGTCGAGACGCCACATGTTTGCAGGCGCCGCTGCGGGCCAGCGACATCGCCCAGCACCCCCGAGTGGAGGCGGTGACCTGGGGCGCGGAGGACCTCTCTGCAGAGCTGGGGGCCAAGAAGCGGCGGGACGGCCAGGGCGAGTATCTGGAGGCGGGAGCCGACCAAACACTTCGGCCAATGACTCATCTTTTTCCTACAAGCCGCCCAAGGAGCGGTGCATCTCGAGTTTCGGCCGTGAAGTGAGCAAGATGGCTCAGGTCTTCCAGCTGTGCCGAAGTCTGACGCTGCTGGCAGCCAAGGGCGCCAAGAAGCAGGCCATCGACACGGTCTTCACCAACCTCAAGGACCTCCAAGGATTAAGGCCGGAAGTGGCAGGAGTCTGAGGGTACCGTGCCTCCAGTCGCATGGCTTTTAAAGAACCCCCCCCCCACTTGCTTGATCTTGCTTGTGGTTGCTGGGTGCGAGGGTGGTTGGTGGTTGGTCCTTTTTGTTGGGCATCGCTTCAGGGCCGAGAGCGAGAAGTCGGCAGACACCGGCTTCGATGGCAAGCTCACCATCCACCCCGACCAGATTGATGTGGTGAACGCGGCCTTCGCCCCAACCTCCGAGGAGGTGGCAGAAGCGCAGGCCTTGCTGGAGGCCGCAAAGACCCAGCCAGGGGCCTTCCGCTTCAAAGGCCAGATGGTGGACATCCCACACTTCAAGCAGGCACAGAGGATCTTGGACAAGATGGATGATGCAGGGCCTTCGGCCAGCTCAAAACCAGCATGGCCGGAAGGGCCAATCCATGGGAAGTGGCTGGAGGAGTTGACTGAAGGTATGGTTATCCGCCATGCGCTTACACGCACAGTCAGCGAGACTGACAATCTACTCTTCACCACCATGACGTTGAACCCGGCAAGATTGCACTTGGACTACGAGTCTGCCAAAGCCACAATGTTTGGTAAGCCATTGGTGAATAGCATGTTCACTGTGGCGCTGTTGGTTGGCATGTCTGTGCTGGAGACAACCCATGGCACAACGATTGCCAATCTGGGTTTCGATCAGGTGGTCTTTCCGCGGCCAGTTTTCTATGGTGACACCCTGCGGGCAGAGACTGAAGTCATCAAGAATCGGCCCAGCTCATCGGATCCCTCTCGAGGCATTGTGACCTTCGAGCATCGGGCTTTTAATCAGAATGGGCAGATTGTGTGCAAAGCCGTTCGCAATGCGATGATGCGCAAGAGGCCGTCAAAGCTTTAAAGACGGCGCCAAAAGAAGGCTCTGAGTTGCCGCATGGTGGCCTCAGTGGCCACTCGCTTGCATGGGAAGTGTGAAGGCCCTGAAGGCATCGCGTCCTTTTCACTCGCTCTCGGCGAGCCTTCCATGTGCTGCCTTCCTCAATGTGCAAGTGCTTAAGACCGCGGAAAACGGAGACCGGCAATGGCATAGTACCAAGCTCATGCATGCAACGAGCTGTTGTGGAACAGACTTCGAACCAACAACCCATTGCAATCGCGAGGTCGTTCTCTCCACAGCCTCGAGAGTCCTGGCCTTGGCAAATCACCAGCTTGGCACGGCTAGTCTTGCCAGTCAGCGAGGCGCACCCCGGAGAAGGAGATCACTCTGGCCATGGAAGCGCGACGGGCACCACCCGCCCATTGAGTCAGCGTGGGAATTGCATGGGCTGACGAGAAGGGGACTGCCGAGTGCAGGAGTGCAGGTCTGCCACTGGATTCGCATCATATTTTGTAGCCATAATTTTGCGAGAGTGTGACTGCTTCATTTCAGAGGGATGCTGGTCATGTGGAGTTCTCCCCTCACACCTTTCCAAAAGAAATGTGGCCAGGCGACATCGCTGACACGCCGAGCCGATGCCCCAGTATGCAGCTTCACAATTGGGTTTCAAGTGAGCCAAGCTGAGGAGTCTCAGCCGCTGCTCAGCTGCATAGGGCCCCCAGATGAAAGAGAGTGGGGTGTGTGCTTAAGTGAATGCGCAGCTGAACGTGTTTTGCCAGTGTGGTCCGGAGTCCAGAGCTCGGAAATGATCGGAGTTGTGAAAGCGACTCAGGAGATCTCCTTCTCCGGTGAGGCCGACCCAGAAAAAGCAATGCAAAGACTCTGATGAGGGACCCTCGGCAGAGCTTTTGAGCCTACCTTCAAGTTCTGTGTTTCGACGTGCTGCCGTACGTTTCTGCCTCCAGCGCAACTCAGGTATTGCTGTGCGGTCGGCTTGGCCGCTGCGATGCAATTTAGAGGTTTGCTGCACCAATAGCTTGCACCTGCAAAACTTTTAGCTTGTGGATTGCCAAGGAGGCCAGCACCTTGGACAGAGCGGCGGCCGGAGGAAGCCCCACGAGTTTTGGCAAGCATTGCCGTCGTTTGCTCGAGCTGAAGGTCCTTATGGCAGCTTCGGACTGCTCAAGCTGAGCCTTCCCCCACGGCGCAAGGCCGATGCCATGGAAGGAAGGCAAGAATGTGCCCAAGAATGCCATGGAAGGTTATGAGAACCGGGCAATCTGCAGAGGCTTTGCAAAGCCGGGCTGCTGCGTTTCTCACATAAGTCCGGCAGAAAGTCATATGGACAGGAGGTGATCACAAAAGTGATTCCCCATTATGACCCAAACTATCCAGTCAACCCTGAGACAGGCCAGAAGTGGTACAGTTGGGTTGAACTCCTGAACTGCGGGCCAAAGCAGACCAAAATCTTCTTCGGCCACCGGTGGGGTGGCCACTTCAACGTGACTTCATGCAGGTGGTGGAGCATGTGCGCAAGGATCAGTTCCTTAGCATCCATCACGGCGTGTGGGTGTGTACTTTTGCCTTGTGCCAACTCGGGGAAGCCCTGGGCGCCTCACCGGATTTGTCCCCCTTCGTGCCGGGGCTGCTGCGGGCGGAACTCGTGGTGCTGGTGCTCGACCGTGCCTCGGGCTCGCTGGCGCGTACCTGCGCTTTCGAGCTTCAGCTCAGCGAGAAGGCGCACTGGGCATGAGATTCTTGACGGCGGGCACGGCGAGGCCCCTCAAAGTTGGGCCTTTTCGGGGGCAAAGCAAAGTCGTTCCCTCCCCAAAACGTGCAGCATTCGCGGCCAAAATAGCCGAATAGCTCGCAAACCCCTTGAGCGCCAAACCTCAGGCGAAACGCCTGGACCTCTTTGCCACGGCGCCTCCTTCCGCGGCAACCCCTGAACCCCGCGGACCGGCGCCAAATTCTGAACCCGCGTGGCCGGTGTGGAGGAGTTGACGGGCATCCGTAAGGGCGAGACATCCCATTGGAAGCCCAGCCCTCCGTTTCTTCTTTTCTGTTAGGGAATTCGCTTTGAAGATTTGAAACCTCTTGAAACAAAGAAGTGAAAGGGTCGCATTGTTTGTTGTTTTGCAATGGTTGAGCTGAGGAAGGAACTTCAATATGCGACCCAGGACTCTGAACTGGCAGGGGAGTTTGCGCATGAGGCAAACATGTTCCGAAAGCAAGGGGGCAAGTTTGATCGCTAGAATGAGCTGGTCCGCAGCAAGGCTAAGAAAAGTGTCGCACACGGAGCAGAGTCGCGAGGACGAACGATTGAGAACCCTGCGCTCAGAGGTTTGCCCCTAGGTTTGCTCAAGCAGTTTATCCGAGAGAGCAAGCAGGCAAATGTTGACAGCTGGGAAGACGTCAGCTGCTCAGAGATGGCGGAGTATGTTTCGGAGAAGCTGATGCGAAGACGCGATCATACTTGGAACTTCGTCTCTGACTATCCCCGACCTCCGAGAGTTTACTTGTCCATGCTTGTCTTATTTCTCTGGTGGTTGCTATGGGCTGGTGCGCCGTATGAAGTGGCAGTCAGAAGAGCGGGAGTTTGATGAAAACACGACTTTCTTCATCGATTTTCTTTGCCTCCGAAGGGAGGAGAAACAAGCGAGCAAACGGGAAAGTTCCACAATATATCGCCACGCAGGAGAGCCAAGGCATTCTGGTTGTCACGGCTGCAACCGGGCATGGGTGTGTGACTTGGCTAGCTTCTTGACACTGGACAAGTTCGTGGACATGGGCAGCGCCAAAGGGGCTTTGGCCTGCACGCGGCCTTTCCGTGATGGGGCCTGGGCATGCGGCCATTTTCATTCCGCTCATGGATTTGACAGTCAGCTCGGTGCGCTGCAGCGCAGAGGAGCTGAAGCAAGTGCAGAGCTGTATTGCGGCATGTTTCACTGATGTGTCCCAAGAAGATGCTTGCAAAGAATTTGAGCTGACTCTGAAACGCTTTGCCAGCGGGCCGCTCTTGCGCAAGGCTGCGTTTCATGGCGACAGAGCCTTCATCAGGGAAGGCTGCCAAACTCCAGGCATACAGATCACCGCTAAAAGACATCAAGGGGGCTTGGCGGAGATGGCCGTGCACATATCGGCTGCCTCTGGCGATGTACAGCGCCTGCAGACCTGCCTTGACCTGAAGGCAGATCTAAACACTGAGGATGACATGCGGGGACGGCCTTTGCATTACGCTGCCCTTGCAGGCTGCGCGCCGGCCATTCAGGTTTTGCTCCGGGCCAATGCTGACCCAACGGCTCGCTCTGGGGTCAAAACGGAGTTGATTCCGGACCTACTTGGCAGCGCAAAGCATTTTTGGAGTGGAAGCTAGCATTTGCACATCAGGAGGAGGCGCGTCAGGAGGAAGTGCATCAGGAGGAGGAGCAGGTGTTCACTGACAATGTTGCAGAAGGCAGAGAGGAGGTGCGTATCAAAGACTTTCTGACTTGGATCAGTGTCGGTCACGAGCCCGGCTCCCCCTGTTCTCCCTTTTAACGTCCGGTTGGATGCCTCTCAGTGCATGCATCGCTTTTTTGGGGGCCAGCCCCGTAGGTCGACGGCAGTGGAGTGTGCAGGCCGCGTGTGTGCGTTTTCCCCCTTCTCGGGCAGGTCAACGGATACGTGATGATGCGTGTCACTCAACCCTGCTTGTGCTTCATAGTGCCCAGCTGGGCCACGCCGTTCTGAAGACCATGAGCTAAAATCGCTGTAGAATGCCGGGCCCTGTGGAAACAAAGCAGTGGGGCGTGGCGCAATGCCGGACCAGCGTACCTGCACCAATATCAACTTGCACATTCAGCCGGTAGGCATCGTCAGGAGGAAACCCAACGCCCCGTGCCAAATCGCAGCTGGGCTGAAGGGAGGGGTTTGGATCCGCCACTTGCTGAGCATGCGCAAAGTCCAACGGGGACCATTGATTGGGCTTTCTTTTTTTCTTTGCAAACTGTTTGGCTTTCCTGTTTTGCCAGCTTTCATTTTTTTGTGTGTTTGTTTTCTGCCTTGCCACCCTGCGCCCAGTGTACTCCAACCATACACCCATCCCAACTCGACCACCAGCCTCAAACCCTAAACTAACCGTGAGCGCACCCAAAACGAACCCTGCAAACCTACCACAAATCCATCCCTCCCCTACCCCAGAACAACCGTAAACCCACCCTAAGCCAGCCCTTGCTAAACGCACTCGCAGTCCCAACCTTTTTTTTTACGTTGCCATGCTGGATGTTGCAAGCTGAGGCAGATCCGAGGAAAAGCCGTTGATCTTTCTGCCATGGCCCTACACAGAGGCTGTGCAGTTGCCAGTTCAACTCAGGCTGGCGCATCGGCGGGCAGTTTTGGGCGGTCACTGCATTCCATGTATCCTGGTCAAGGTGCGTCGCTGGGGATCCGAGCGCACCAACTCGTCCACTTCCGCAGGTGCCGCGAATTGCTCCGAATGAGTCGCATCCCACTGGGAGAGTGCAGAGCAGAATTTCGCACAGCTTTGGTTCGGACACTGTGTCAGTGCTGAGTTGGAGGCTCTACACCGAGATCGATTGGCACACGCGGCTATCTCAATCGGATGAATCAGCGAACTGCCAGGAGAGGACAGTTGTGTGTTGTCCAGGCCGTTTGGCTGCACACTTGCAGGATTTCAAGCAACCCGCCCTGCGAGCAGAAGCGGGTATCACCGCGAGATACCACGGAACAGGACAGCCTGCATGGATTGACTTGCTTGCGCTCATTCGGCATTTGCGAGGCCCAAAGCTGTCATGAAGCCGCCCCCAGACATGCCAAAGGCAATGGCAGGCCCAGCTAGGATGCTGTCGCAGCTCAGCTCTCGAGGTGCCGAAGCTCGGAAGCACGGATCAGAATTGCCAACCGCGCCCAGCCTGACTCTTGGCGCTACTCTTGATGTGCAGGGCTTGCTGAGAAAAAAAGTCATGGTGCCTCTCCGTCAGGCAGTTGCTTGCACCATCCTACGTGACCTTGTCTTTCACTGAGGACTTTGTTGGTCAGATCTGTTCTGTTTCCCGGTTCGACTGCAAGTCGACTTGCAGTAGCGTCAATATGTTCTTGAGATGTTGCCGTAGGGGGACAGGGATTGCATTTCAAGCTGGGGCCTTGTCAGCCTAATTGCTGGCGTTGGCATGCGAAATGCGAGCAACATGCAGCTGAGGAACGTGCCCCAGATAGGGAGACCCGTATCAGAGGAGCCTGTGGACAGGTACGCGAGGCCGGTGTCGGGGTGTCCGCATGTGCGCCAAGCGGAAGCCATGCCAGGCTGCAGTGTCTGCAGGCGAGGCTGAAGTCTCGAAGCGGAGACGGAACTCCCAGAGACCCCCGGAGCTGGCTGAAGGACATGAAGGACATGCAGGACATGAGGGATCTTAACGTGCCGAAGGAGAAAGAAACTCCCAAGGAAGGGCCGAAAAGGCCACAGGAAGGGCCGACGGAAGAGCCAAGCGAGCGCAAAGAGGCCAAAGCCGCCTCTGGGGATGTGACCTCCAGACTTTATCATGCTGAGCCGGTGGTCCGCCAGGCAGCCGTTGCTGCACTGGGCGCGCTTGGCCGGGCAGCGAAGGATGATGCACGTCTTCTGGCTGCTTCCTTGCGCGACACTGATGCCGGGGTGCGAAGGGCGGCTGCAATTGCGCTGGGCAACCTGGGGAAGCCAGCTTCCGCATATACAGATGCAGCTTTGCAGCGCTTTGCAGCGCTTGTACCTTTTTCTTGACTTCCATGTCTCGGACTTGAGCAGGTACAAAGCAGCGCAGTGTTGGTTGCTCGTTCAAAATCCTGCCAGTTTCTAGATTGGTTTGCCCATGTCGTGTTCCTTTGCGAGCAGGCGCTACTCGCAGCATCGCGGCATGACAACGACGATGACGTTCGCTTCCATGCGGCGGTTGCCCTGGGCATGCTGGGCGCCTCGAAGATTGATCTGGAAGGGTGCAGGTGCAGTCCAGCTGCGCCAATGCTCGCATCCTGCACCCTGTCGTTTCCCGCATGAGGCGAGGTCGGGGCTCCCTCCCTTGCTTGGGTGCTTTGGGCAGCCGGACCACATGAAAATATTGTCGTTGTCCTGCTTTGCCCGCTGTATCCTATTTTCTGTTAACTCAACAGCTTGGTCGAACATTTGTTAATGTCCCTTTGCATGGCGAAGTGTGCCAATGCAGCACCGACCATTGGTCAAAAGGATTGCCGTGAAGTCATCCAAAGTGTGCTGTGCCGCCACTGACCTTCGGCACGCAAGCCAGCAACCACGTCAGCACACGGCCTTTTATTTGCTCCTAGGCGTGGAAAGGGCTTGCAGGCTGTAGGGAAATGCCGACGTTGGACTGCTTCATGGGTGACCGCCAGCTGCCTGGTTCCAGGGAAAGCTGAAAGTTGCAAGATGATGATGTAAGCCTTGTATGCATCCACGCCACACTTTTGCCGCACTTTTGCCTTGTTCACTTTGAACAGAAAACGCACGCGCCGCCTGAGGGTCTCTACCACAGGTATTGAGCATGACATTCCTCGGCAATCAACAAGCTCAGGCTCTGAATCGGCCCTGTTTGCCGTTTTGCACCCCACAAGGAAGCGAGAAAGATGTGACTTGAACCCCCAGCGCTGATGCTCAGAAGGTGGGTTGCATGAAGTAGCCATGGGCCAACTACCCTACTTGGCCGCAGTGGTCCTTGTGGCTCGGCTCTCGGCTTCGCATCAGACCGACATGGAGATGACTTCTTATTGAGAAACGTGCAGAGTTGTCTTTCACCGCTGGAACTAGCGCGGAGAGAAAGAGAGAACATCTCCGACGAAGCAACTGGTGCCAGAGGCTGTGCTGTGGCAGCTGCAGGTGCCTGTGGAGTGACCTATCTCAATGCCGCTAAGCCACTGAGGTTGGCCTTGGTAACACGTTGTGGTGGTTTTAAAGGGGAGCCTACAGGACACCCTCCATTTTCGGGGGCCCAAGCTGCGACGTTTTTGAGGCCGTGGGCGTCAGCTTCGGGAGAGGTACACCTTCCTGCTGGCGACTTTTGAAGCGGTCGATACCCAGGCGCCGCTCTTGATGCACCGATGCACTGATGCGTTTTGCGCATGCCGGGGGGCAACAATGGCTTGCACGTTGCCTTGACCCAGAGACCTTGTGTGACGCATTGGGGGTTTGTCGAAAATATGGCCCCTTGTTGGACCTACCAGAAAAGAGACCCGATGTTGTCAATCCCCACATTGAAGGGGAGGCACGGTGACAGCCCGGCCAAAAAGACTTGAGGCCTTCAAGCGGGAGCTCCCGTCAGAGGCCAAGTGCTGTTGTGGAAGCATTGCGCAACTTTCTCGCAAGGCCTGAGCTTCGGCGCAAGCTCAGCGGTCCCATTTGGACCACAAACGGAGGTGAGGAAGTTGATACATGTTGTTCACATTGCACGGCCACGCTGTGTGATCTCCTTCTGCTTTGTTTTGCTTTGTTTTGCTTTGTTTTGCTTTGTTTTGCTTGTTGCTCCAGGCGCAGCCATCGCTCTTCTTCTGCATGGCCGTTTGGAAGATTGGCTCCGGAATCCTCAGTATGTTCTAGAGGCCTGGGCATGTGCAAACTTGCAGTTCTGGAGATCAGGTTGGGTGCATGTGTGCATGTGTGTGTGTGTGTGTGCCAGGATGTCGTCGGCAGCGCAGTGCAAATGCGCTATGGCACCTTCCAGGTAGCTGATGATACTCAGCTCCAACATGTCAAGAATCAGTCCTGAAGGACACGTGCTGCGATGTGCCTCAGATCGCAAAGCGCTTGTCGAAGTACTGGGATGCGTGGGCGCTCTTTGCATGCTTTGTCACATACGAAGAGACAGCATTCAGCAGCCTTCTCAAGCACATCATCTTCAATTGAACTGGCTTTGGCGTGGCAGGAGTCCCAGCCATGGGCTGCAGAGGTTCTGGTTTCTGCCCAGGCGAAGGGAGGGCTGAGGCAAAGCCATACAAAGAATGTGGCAAGGGCGGTCCCCTTCAAGTGGCAAGTGGCATGTGCTCGCCTGCTTCAGACTTGGCGGGTAGGCTTTGCGCAAAGTCGGAAGGACAGACAAGTTCAGTCTCGCAGCAATGCATACCAAACAACTCAAGCCTCAGCTGGAATCGAACAAAATGTCACAGCAGCACGCAGCCAAGCATTGGAATGCCAACCTTGCTGATTGCTCAGAGCTCAGCATTGCGCTTGCTAGTGGCGGGCGGCAACGTCTCAAAGTGCGCCAGTCAGTAAGATGGCGAGCTTGGGCATGGGTGATAGCTCCGAGGTGTTATGCGTAACGCTGTCACCTCAGAATCACGCCAGACTGGATTCGATTTTTGTCAGCATCACCTTGAGCTGCTGATGTCGCCGGTGCTGTTGTTGCTGCCGCGCACTGCTTGTGCTGCGGCCGCTTTCCTACGCCGTTGCATTGTTGGCTCCACAGCAAGCCGCCAGCCGGGATGTAGGCAATATGCCTGTCCCACAGCCACAGTGAAGCTTGCTTGCATTGGACTCGGCTCAACGCTTGGGGGCCACCGTCGTCTGTGAATACTAATGCCATAACTTTGGAGCAGTGCAAGCCAGCGCTTGGGTGGGATTTCCACACTTGCCTTGCTCGGGAGCGATTGGCTTCATGCCACACGTGGCCGCCACCACTCACATGCAGGCGGACGCGATCTGGAGCATGAGCGAAGGTGGAGCAACCAATATCATCCGAAGACGCTCGGTGTGATAGGCGGTGAGTCGGTGAGTCCACACGTGTGTTGTGAGTGCAGCATTTTGCTGCATAATTATTGTGCCGTGCTCTGCTGAGTTGCCCTCCGCAACTGGAACAAAGATTCCCTTCTGCGGGCTTGGTTCGACCACTTTGCCACTTGGCATGGCGGCAAGCCACCTGCGGCAAGAGCCATCAGGGTTCGGTGTTACGATGTGAGTGGGGTAAAGCTCAGAAGGACAGCAGCAGCTGTAACACTGTACGTAGTGATGAGACGGACATTTGAGATGACACGGGCTGTTTTGTCGGACGTGGCTGATGGCTGATGCCATCCACCGAGGATGATGATCGTAATGGCTTCTTAGACGCTTGGTGGCATTGATTTGGCTTGCTGCAGTCGAGCTGCCTAAGATTCGCACTGGCAATTTGAGCTTCCTTCTTTTCATTGGGCAACCAAAGCGCAACTCGAGACAACCCAACCAGAAGTGCCGGAATGTATGGCTGGCTTCTAGCAAGGAAAAGGACGAGTTCTTCGCAGCTTGCGATGAGATCACATCTCATTCCGACCCGCGCTTTGGCACAAGTTCAGAGAGAGCCGATTCTGATGGTGCATGCTCGGCTAATTTGGTGACAGGCCAAGACCTGCGAGATGATGTGCATTGGTGACTGCCAGCCGAGTCCAAAATTGCTTTGTTGGAGCTTGGAGCATGCCTGTGCCTAATGTTACTCCACATAGCAGAGCCCCGTTCCCTCATTGGGCGCTCAACCCCCATCAACAACAAGCAAAACCAGACAATCGCTGTTGGTACCAGACAACGAGCCAAGATGTAAAGTCAACCAGACTTTGGCACACTAGGGTAGTGATAGTGAAATCAGACTCCATGGAAGTCCAATTGGTGGAGAGCAACACCACGGCAGCACGTGCCCAACACAGCAGATCAATTTGACCAATGTGCGCCAAACACGGAACAAGAGATCACGGCCGATCTAGGTGTCATGACTGCCAGGAGATGGTCCAGATTTGGGGGGGTTGGGACTAGGGCCGCCTTGCTGAGGCAACAGTTGTGGGAGCACCTGGATTCTGACAAGACAGGCTACGTCAGCCTCCGAGAAATCAGCGAGGCACAAGTGCAGCCGAAGGGTTTGGCTGCTCAGCATTTAAGGGAAACCGAATTCAGTCAGTTTAGGACCTACAAAAAAGTGTTCGCACCTGGGAACCGCTGGGTCCTTGCATTTTAGTACAGACTGTTTTGCTAGGGTGATGTTTCTCTCATGCGATCCCGTCCCCCTCTTTTTGAATCTTTTTGAGGAAAGGGAGCCAGGAAGGTTTGGTTGATGGAAGGGAGTTTTCCTATAGTTGCCATGCTTCCCTTGGGGAACTGTTCGAGGTTTAGTCAGAGTTCAGCCAAACCAGGCTGACTCGCCCAAATGCTTTCCTAACCCTTGGTAAGTCCGAGGCTAGCATTGCCTGAGGCGGTACTTTGACCCATATTGACCTCAAGCTACATCCTTTTTAACGTACCAAGAGAGCCTTACAGAAACCCACGCAATCCGATCCAACCCCTTGCGAGGTCGGATCGGCTCGTCAAATCATTTCTCCAGCGCCCATTAAGGGGCCAAAGCTCTCGAAAGGGCTAGGAATCAGCTCGTTGAGGATACAGCATCCTGGGCAGTAGTCCATCGCACCTCCCATGACACACCAAAAGTGGAGCTGCACAGCTTACTGGTGAAATGGCTTGGGATGGCTGTGGCAGAATCAGGTCTGAGGAGGTAAGACGCAGATGCGCAACGAGCCTCCAAGAACCTCAAATGTTGCCATACGTTGAGGTGCACTGCAAAAGCATTGAGCTTAACAGGGCACGGGTTGCACCTGCCAGGATGACGCAAGCCTTTGGTTTGACTTCAAAGCGTGGTGTGCCGCAACCTTCAGTGGACCGATGCTTGCCTGTGACATAGCTGAAAGAGATCATCCCGAGCTAGGCTTAGGCCCCGGAGGACCACTGCCACTTGTCAACAAGTGCAACATGCACGCTTTGTTAATATATTGAATTATTGTTCGTGCAATGCATGGAATTGTTCGTGCAATGCATGTATTGCAGGTAGATCAGGGCACAATATGTATGCATATATATATATATATATGTATATATATATTTATTTATTTACATGAATATAATATAGGTATGACTCCACAGCATGTGTGTGTGAAGCATGCTAATTACATGTATCTGTATTTGGGCCGTGTACTGCAATGCAACACAATTTATCTTAACGTCGCCTAAGGGAAGTATGCGTGTGCATGTATGAATGCATGTATGCAATGTAAGTTACTGGAATGTATGCGTGTAATGTCAATGCGGGCTGGTTGCGGATGTTTTGAGTTGTGCAATGAGGAAAGATATGCTGGTGCAGATCTCGGGCACCAGCACCGAAGAAGAGAGGCTTCTTCAAAAGCAGAATGCGCGCAGTGTCCTGGCCGCACAAGGAACTTGTTCAGCAACCGCAACGACTCTTCCTCGTGATGTGTTCATGGAGATTGGACCCAGGATGGGCCTAAGGCTTGGCCTAAGGGAAGTCGAGCGAATTTCGATGTAATGCTGAGCAATTTGAGCTGAAGATCTCTTGCGACACTTAGGCAAGCTGTTTGGCTTGAGGACGGTGCTCCGTGTTCAGTTGCTAACTTGCGACGTGCCAAACAGCTGTTTCGCGTCCCCTTTGTCGCCCCCTTTAGGAGCCCGACGGCTCGCGCAACAGGGGCGCCCGTTAGCTTGCGGACAGGCCTGCTTCCACAACGTGAGTTGTGGAGGTGTAGAGGTCTGGAGGTGTGGTGCAGGGTGTGTAGGCAAAGCGTGACGCATGCGCGGGCTGTATGCTAGAGTCACCAAAAAGCATGGCGTTTCCAAGCTATGTGTTTTCGGGCCAGCTAAACCCTAAGCGCAAGGGCGCACCACTGTCACCCCCGGTCATGCTGGCTTCACTTTGCAAGACTAAGATTCAGTAAGAGGGGATCAGGCTTTATTGGCCGGATTTCGTGCTCGCAGGTGAGGAGGCATGTACTGTGATCGTGGGAGAGGAAACCTGGGTCAGCGGACTGCTGCGCTGTGGCGCCTCAGCACAGAGGGAGGAGGGTGCCGTCACGTTTCAAGTTGCGTTTGGTTTTGGCTTTGCACGCTGCCTCAGGCTGGTCCAGACAGCTGCAGGACCCTGTCTCGAATCCGCGCCTTAGACGAGCGATGCGCGTATGGGCATTGCTGTAGAAAGTGTGTGAGTTGGACATGTTCGTGTTTGAGGATGCGCGCCGGGACTCACAAGTGGCTTTGGTTGATAAAGTACCGAAGCTTGGCGCGGTGGCTCAAGGCAAGCAGAGAATTGAGAGGCTAATTAATTTGTTGAGGCTGCGTGCCATGTATTTCCGAATCCGCCTGGATCGCGCCTTCATCACGGCAAAATTGAGCACTTCGTCAGCAAGAGATCAGTAAGCCTTCCTGCCCGCCTTCATGAACCTACTCCAGATTCTGACGAAGTATTCTGACGAACAGCTGCAGGGGCTGTATGGAGGTGGCTTGCAGCGCCCGCGCCAACGAATGCGCCGCCAAAGCGGAGGAGCCCCCCCCCCCGGGCTCCTGAGAGGAACGGCAAGAACGATCCGCAGATGCCTTAGGGCATCCAGAGTTCCGTCGGAATGCAGGGACTTGCAGGCTGGTTGCCCCAAAGGCCGCCACTGCAAGTTTTGCCACCACCAACACGGTCCTTCTGTGAAACTGGGCCAGGCGCAGCGTGTGCTCCTACGGTCCTACACCTGAGTGAGCGAAAAGTTGAGCCTGGTCCTTCCCTGTCTCAAGGCTCGGGAGCAGGAGATGTTCGAGTCACCGATCTCACGGTGAGGTTCCTGAGCCCCCTCAAGCTGCCCAGCAATCTCGATCTTATTCAGTCAGCCTTTCTGGAGTTGCAAGAGCTACAAAAAGGCACGTACAGCCTGATCCGGATCCGGCAAATGTCTAAAACGCAGAATTTGCAATGGCCGTTTCAGGAGCGCATAACTCTGCATGGTGCTTCCTCCCAACGAAGCGTTCAAACGCTGTTGCTCGTGCTGAAGGGCGCAGTGGAGATTGCGAGCATCCAGCAGTTGCCAATGCCTCTTCAGCTAATATTCCACGTTTCTGGCAGCTCTTCCGGCAATTCTCCAAGAGGTCCTTCAAGGTGGCATGCCAGGACATTCCCAAACAGTACCTGACCTGACTGAATTGTCGAAGTGGTGGTTTGAGCTGCCCTTGTGTCTCTTAGTTTGTGGTCGCACGACCAGACCAGCGCTGCGAGCATTTGCCCCGAAGATGAAAGAGGTGCAGCGCCTAAATCAAGTTCGTTTGGGTGGAAACAAAAGTCAATGGGTCTGGGGCGAATGCTCATGTGACATGCGGTGCCTTCCTCAGCACCAGATGGCACGACAGGCCTTCTCTTATTTCGTGTTCGCACGACCTGACATTGGGCACCAGCAATTCCCCAATGCCCAAGAAAGTACGCACTGCTTTGGTGCCGTGAGGCGCAACCAGTGGCCAGTGGGGCCGTTTAGATGCAAGCCTCGGTCGAGAAGGAAAGGGAATCTCCATTTGGCCTCAATGGTTGGAGTGCCTGAAATGAAACTAAGAAAAGCAAAGGAACCTGCCCTTCCAAGGGGTTCAGGACACTCCCGGCCCCGCCGCCCTTCCAATGTTCCCAATGGCGTTGTACACATTACGTTGCTGGCTCCGGATTTGCTGCCAGATAGCTGGGCACCACAGATGGAGTCATTCGTTGATTCTAGCCCTTTAGCGCAGCGCCTTTGAGCTAACAAGAACTCAGTACCCATTCAAGAGAGCAGCATTGCCATAGCAGCGCAACAGTGAGCAGGAGCTGTTTTACGCCTTGAAGGATGAAAGAAGAGGCGACTTGCCAGAGTGGATATTGCTCGCATCAGTCAGCACTGGCGGCATGTGCTTGAAGGCGTCATAGATGCTCATGCCTTGAAGTGGCTTGACGCTCGGCAGAATGCAAGGTCCTGCTTGGTGCCGATGTTGCTTTCCGAGCTAGTTGAGGGCGCGTGCTGTTTGAAAGGAGATAGAAGTGCGAAAGTTCAAGCAGAAGCAAGAGATGAAGCGGAGGCCGCATGGGGCACTGGCTGCTTTGACTTGGAACCATAGGCAGCGCGCCTTGCAGGTGGATACAGAAGAACCATGCGCGCACACCCACGCACCCACACACACACAACCACAAACGCACACACACACGCACGCACGCACGCACGCACGCACGCACGCACACACACACGCACACGCACGCACACACGCGCACACGCACACACGCACACACGCACACACGCACACACGCACACACGCACACACGCACACACGCACACACGCACACACACACACACAAACACACACACACACACACACACACACACACACACACACACACACACACACACACACACACACACACACACACACACACACACACACACACACACACACACACACACACACACACACACACACACACACACACACACACACACACACACACACACACACACACACACACACACACACACACACACACACACACACACACACACACACACACACACACACACACACACACACACACACACACACACACACACACACACACACACACACACACACACACACACACACACACACACACACACACACACACACACACACACACACACACACACACACACACACACACACACACACACACACACACACACACACACACACACACACACACACACACACACACACACACACACACACACACACACACACACACACACACACACACACACACACACACACACACACACACACACACACACACACACACACACACACACACACACACACACACACACACACACACACACACACACACACACACACACACACACACACACACACACACACACACACACACACACACACACACACACACTTATCTCGAGAGGCTTCACTAGCCGAGATGAAAAACGCAGTCAGTAAAAATGCTTGAATGCAAATGCAAATCAACAGGTCACAACATCGACACCGAACAGGAAGCAACAGCGACAAACAGAAACCGCAAAAGGAATCAGGAAAGAGGGTCAGGAAATAGGCAGGTACGCCGGATTGATCAGATCCGGTATCCACCGAAATGCCGTAGCTTCATTGGACTGGATAGGCAAATCGGCTCCAGTCCCCCTGCAATGTGGAATTTCCGTCCGTGCTCCAGGACGCTTCACACACACGGAGCCCCAACTGGGGCGACATCACTTGTGCAAGGCCCATTGAGTCTTGCAAGCATCAATTGTGCGAGAAAGTCTTGTGGCGATGACTGACCACACATACTTGGCTTTGGAATTGGTCTTAAGGGAACGGAGGAGTTCAATCTCTCCCTCAGTCCAAGGCTGCGAGGCTTCAGGTTCGGCCTCAGTAGAGGCATCAGTCCTGGTCGATGTGGTAGCTTCGCTTGGTCCACGAGCAGGTTTTGGATGCCGTAGATCGTGAGGAGGCCAAATCACGTGCGCGGCGAGCTCGTTTTTCGCCGGGAGAAGACGGAGGAGGGGTGGGCGGAGCCCAATGATCAGGGAATTGTTCGTCATGATCAGTGGGAAGGTGTTCATCTGGAGCATCAGGAGGTGGCTCAAAGAGGTCCTCGAGGGGGGCCAGGAGGGGTGTTGGTGGTGAGTTGGTCAGGTCCTCAATGGCGGGGTTGAGCGTGGCCTCCGGTGCCAAATCAGGTTCGGCAGGCGGACTCTCAGGGAACTCGCGGATGGTGGCGATGCCTTGTTGGGCAATGCCAAGGATGAGTTCGAAGTCTTGGAGCAGCTGGCGTGCTGTGTTGGTATCCATGCTCGTAACGGATTTTGGTCAAACAGTCAAACAGCTGCGGCGCGAAAATCAGGTCAAATCTGTCAGGATGCAAAGGCAGAGAAGAAAACCAGTGTGGTTCCGCAAAGGACGGTTTTTCTTCTCTTTGTAAGGTGAAACCGTGTTGGAGGTGCAACCTCTTCAACATTGCAAGACCCTGACCTCGCTGAAACTCAGGAAAGGAAACTCGGTTGATCAGCGTGCGTCCGGAATAACATCCAGATTCCTTATGCATCAGTGGTGCGGCTGACTTGACGGAGAGCATGTTGTGCTTCTCATGCGAGGGGATGAAGGAGATGGTGCTGCTTGTGAGGTTCAGTCGGAACCCCAAGAAGTCCAGGGCGGCTTCTGTGTCCAGGAAGATGTCTCCTCCATAGAAGTGTTCGTCGCACAGTATGTTGGCTGCCGGAGTCGAGAGCCACCTGGGGGTTGCGATCACGAGTCTGTTGTCCACGTAGCGGAGTAGGAGAGTATCTTCAACGGAGCGAAGTCCCGATGTGATGTGAGTGTTGGTCCAACATTGTTCGGCGACCGCGATCACCATCAAACAGAGAGCTGGGGACGCGGGGGATCCCATCGGTGCCCCACGTGTTTGCCTGAATGAACGAAGGCCGACAGAGAAGATCTGCATGTCAAGGGTGGCCTGAATGATCTCGGGGATGTCGTCGAGCCACAGGGTGCGTTGTGTGGGTTTGTGTCGGCGACGGCGTCCGTTGTAGACGCGGGTGATGGCAGAGGTGTCAAGTGTGTCCACTGTGAGGTGTGTGGTAGAGGAGTGTGGTTGTCGTTGTCGGTACCAGGTTAGCAGTAGTCGCCAGGCGAGGAAGGGTGCAAGCATCGGTCTGGAGGGGCCAGGTGGAATGAGGCCCCGGAATCGTAAACTGGATCGAATGGCGGAAAGGCATGCCTGGTGGTGTGGTTCAGGCAGGTGTGTGGCTATGCGATGAAGGACATAGAGAGCGGCGGGTGGGAAGTCTCTGCTCCGTATGTAACGGATGGCATCAAATCGTCGTAGAGTGTTGCTGCCAAGATCGCCCAAAAATCGCCACAAATCCAGGCGGTTGTCCACGCGTTTGGCCAGGAAGGCCTGTTGTAGGGCGATGGGTAGTCGTAGTCGGCGGCGTTTTCGCCAGATGGTGGCGAAGCCCATGTGCCGGGATTGGGAGAAGTCCAATTGGCGTATGAAGCCCGTGCGTGGCCGGAAATGTTTCTCGATGAAGCCAAAATTGAGAGACGGTTGCAGTTCCTGGATGTAGAACTGTTCAGTGGCAAATAGGTCCGTTGCCGGAACGACAGTGTGAATGGGCACCGAGGTGTAGTGGTGGAAAAAGTCAAAATGTGCCCACCACCGGACTGCCAGTTCGGCATTGACCAGATGATGTCGCTGAACTTGGAGTAGTTTGCGAAGTTGGCTGCGGCCCCGTGCCATGAGGGAGGCGCGAGTGGCTCCGAGGTAGAAAAAGGCCTGCCACTTTGGATGGCTGGTGAATCTCAGATAAACCGCTGAAGGGACAAGCTGAGAAGAGAAATCGGAAGCAGGGTTGTCCAGGCCAAGTCGAGTAAGCAGGGCTTTCAGTCTGCCGGAACCACAGGAGAGATGGCAGACGTCAAGTAGCTGAAGCTGTGCGAGTAGCCAGGAGCAAGAATGACGTGCGGTGACGTCATCGGTTGGGAAGAACCGAAGAGTGAAACGGAGGACAGTGAGAAGTTGGCAGCAGTGGTGTTGCCAAAATTTGTGCTGCCTGGCTGTGCGTCGTTGTCGGTGTGCTGTTGAGAGTCACTGGTAGAAGTGACTCGCAGCGGCCAGGATGCGGCCCAAGGCCGATGACCCCAGTTTTGATAGGGTTCGCACCGGGATGCCCCATAGCACAGCGGCTCGTTCGAGTTGGGCTCTGGTGTCGGAGTCCAGTGTGGTTGCCCATTTTGCGCAGTCGTTGGACCAGCTTTTTAGGACTTGCTTGCTCTCTTTGCTGGTTTTCTGAGAGGTGATCCATCGCTGGACTTTGGTGTCGGAAATGTCGGGTGGGAAGTTGCTGGTGAGCCATTGGCAAACGTGGGGAGGTGGTTGGAGCAAGTCGCGGGGCTCCTTCCAAGTGGGTGGGGAGGGGAGGGGGGGAGGGGTCGGGGTGCCGCCGTGGGTGGAGGGGGCTGGAGGGTTGCCGCCGTGGGTGGGGGGAGCCGGGGGGGGTTGGGAGTCGTCTGCAATGCGAGTGGGCAGGGGTAGAGCGGGGGATCCGTCCTGCGGTGATGTGTCAGGTGTAGTCAACCGTGGTCGCTTCATGCCGAAGTCCAGGAGGGAGGCCTGAGATGGATTGGCTGGGCGTTTGTTGGATGAGGTGGGTGTGGGGGGGAGAGGGGGGGATGAAGCCTGCTGGGCGAGTTGGTTGTGTGCGTCAGCAAGCTGTTGCTGAAGCTGGAGTATGGTGGCCGCGGAGGCCGGGTCGGCCGTAGTGGTGGGTCGGAGGGAGATGAGGAAGTCGAAGATCTTGCTGGTGAGTAGCTTCATGGCTGCTGGTCTGGTGGTCGAGGCGCCCTCCTGCGTGGCTACATGGAGGGCGAGGGCGTCCAGGTCGAGGTGCCGTTGTCGGATTTGGCTGAGTAGTCCAGCAGCAAACACTGATTCCGGCATCGACTTTGCGACAACGATGCGGACTTCGCCTCCGTGGGCGAGGTGACGCAACCACCAACTGTTCCACTGTTCGTGCATGAGTGGAGGAGGGGGACGCGAGCGATGTCTTGTCCCTCGATGCCCATTTGCCGAGTAAACGCGGTGTGCGTTATGACCTTGGGCAGGTCGTACCCCGCGACGCGGGTGGTGTCGTAGTGATCGTCGCCAGGGTTGAACTCGGTTGGTGTTGGGACTGAGTGGATGGGTCGAAGGGCCGGGGGAGGTTTGGATTGCGAGGCGGTGGAGGGGGAGGGGGAAGGGGGAGGGCGGGAGAAGGGGCCGGGGGGAGGGGGGGGAAAGGGGTTGCCGCCGGGAGGGGGGGGGAGAGAGCCGCCAAAGGAGGGTGGACGAGGGCCGGGGTGTGGTGGGTAACGGGGAATAGGTTGGCCGTAGGTCTGACAGGGAGTCGGATGTGTAGCTGGCGGTGCCGATGCCGTGGAAGAGCATCCGTAGGAAGGCCCGGACAGGGCCCCGCACGGGTTCCCGGCCATGTTGTTGCCGTACACGATGCCATGATGATGGGATGCCGTGGGCGAAGGCTGCGGTGGTAAGTTTTGCCTTTGGAGCGCCGTAACCAAACCTCGAGGGGGTTGGAAAGCCATGAGAAAACACGGGGGAAAAGGAAATGTTCGAACCACAAGCTGGTGAGCGGAATCAAGCGGGTAAGGTCACAAGGTGAGAGAACGGTCGCGGAAAGGCAGAACAGCAAAGCAAAGAAAAAAGGCGATCAAACAGTGCACCAATTCTTTTCCTGGTTGGGTGGAAGATGGTACAGTTGCGCCCCGCTAAGCCGGGCGCTGCAGCGCGATGCCTCTCAGCATCGCAAACTTGGAGTGAAGGCACCACTTTTTGCCTCGGCGGCATGCGAAGTGGCGCCGCACGTTGTGTTGATCCTCGTGGCTTCCCCCGGATTCGAGGATTTTGTGCTGATTGATGGAGCGTAGTTCCCCAAAAGCGATGGCGCCGAGTTGAGACTTTCCGATTGTAAAGTTCTGCAAGAGCTGGCCGAGCGTGTCGGGCGTGCATGCCGTGGGGGTGGCCTGAGCGTAGCATCCAAAGCTCGGGTAGTCATGGTTCTCGGGCCTCCAAGCAGCGGGTCGGATCATGTTCTCATGGCACATGCGGCGCACTCGATCCGGGGTGGTGCCGTGCACATACATGACAGCGTGATGGGAGGCCGTGCCGGATCCAGCTTCCGGGTCTCCGCCAGCAACTGGCCAAGGATGAGGTCGGGGAAACCAAGTGGTTGCGAACACCATGCCGTGTGATTCCCGTCCCAAGAGGTGGTAGAAGCTGGGATCGAACGGTATGGGATCATCCGTGTCCATGGTTCGCAGTTCCCAGCATTCCGCGA